GTTATACGTTTTACTCAAACCAGACAAAGCGTCTGCGTTATTAGAACCTCCACCTTCGGAGTACCCGCCGTCGTGACGACCGCATTGGGCTGAAAGGGACGTATCTTCATGCGCTCCGTACTTGCTGCTGCAGTTTTTGTCCTGCGCTAGATGAGAGTGGCCCCCCGTGGAGTACGGCGGGTACACCTTGAAATGCGGGAAATAAGAAGAAGCGTTCTCCGTTCCGTACAACTTGGAGTAAAAATTGGACGAAGATAAGGCTGAAGACGCAGGAGATGACGAGTGCGCGTTTAGTGACGCGTCACTCTGTAGACTGCTGTGATCTCGGTTGTCGCCGTGGTGGTAGTCTTTGCTGACGTCGAAAGAGCCCAGAGAAGCGCCGTGCGTCTGCACAGACGAGGAGACGGCGTCCATGGTGTTGAACTTGCTGGACAAACCTCCGAACTCCGCCGGGCCTTCTGGGAACGACTTTGAGACGTGCTCCTGGAGGTTGGCGAGGGGACGCAGTGACGTCATATCCGCTGTGTCGTCATGAGGAGCCGACAGCCGTTTCATCACAGAGTCTTCGTACAATCTGGCAAAATGAAACAAAGGGAAAAAAATAACCAATAAAGAATAAGCGTGTTTCTAAGCCATTTTCAACACAATTAATAAAGAATAAACGTGTTTCTAAGCCATTGTCAACACAATTAATAAAGAATAAACGTGTTTCTAAGTCATTATCAACATGATTTATAAAGATTAAATGTGTTTCTAAGCCATTATCAACATGATTTAGATTACTTAAGAGGCGGGCTTCTGACTTTTCTCGTCAGAGCCAACCTTGACTGAGAGGAATGCAAGATCCTAGAAGAAAGACTGAGGTACTGGATAAAAATGTTTTCCCCACTCGGGAATCAAACTCAAGTCTCCTACGTCGACAGTAAAGCACCTAACCTCTACACCACAGACTTCGGTCTGGTAAATTGAAAAGAGGGCAGTATTGTTCAAGAAATCCTTAAGTAAAATTCCGAGAAAAAACGAAAAATACACCAAGTTAATTTTCTAGAAGTTCTATCTCACCCTTTTTTTAAAGGTGTGGATGTAAGAGTGGGTAAAGCGAGTACTAATTATAAAACTGGTCTTAGTTTTGGTTTAAAATACGTTATAGTGATTAATATTTTTAAATGAAAACAATATTTGTGATAATAATAGTGATGATGCCATGTTAATTAAAAAACGTTATAGTAATTAATATATTAAAATGAAAACAACATTTGTGATGATAGTAATGACGATGCCATGTTAAAATATATCATCCATCATCATCATCATCATCATCATCATCATCATCATCATCATCATCATCATCATGCTGAAAAGATCATCAGTCCACTTGTAAGCTTAACTCTCTTCATTAGTGAATTAAAAAAACAACAACACACACCCCCAAATAAAACAATAATAATACACAATTTAAAACAACAATAAAAACAACAACAACAACAACAACAACAACAACAACAACAACAGCAACAACAACAACAACAACAACAACAAAAACTGGCGTCTGCGATGTAGAGGTCGGAAGCTTTGCTGTCGTATACAGGAGATCTGTGTTCGATTCCCGAGTGGGAGGACTATTTATCGAGTTTCTCGGCTGGGATTTTGCATCCCTCTGAGCCCGAGTTGGCCCTGACAATTAGGGAAGGAAATCCCAACTCCAAAATTGTCCAAATTGTATGGTTCTGGACACAAAAACACTTGCTTTAAAAATAAGAAGACTAGAAAAATAATCATAACGGCGTTCTCCACATTAATAACAAACAGTGCCGCTGACAACTACGCCTCTCTGGCTATTTCAGCAGCGGAACTTTTTTCTGTCTACGCTGATTCATTGTGGTTATTTTTTCTTGTAGCGGAAACGGACATGTCTAAACAAGCATCCATCTTTGGAGGAAATAAAGACTAGGTGCACAGGAGGGGTGAGGAAATTTGTGCTGGGTTTTATTGGCGGTATCGAGGATGATGGTGTCGAATTGAAGTGACCAAAAAGAATTAATTTTGTTCACTGGTACATTAGGACTCTACAAACAATTTACTTGACGGGTGCCAAAAAGTACTTAGACTGTTTCCTATGATTTTTTAAAACCTATAAATTGATGCTTGTGTCAGAAACCCCCCCCCCCCCCAAAAACCTCTCTCTCTCTCTCTCTCTCTCTCTCTCTCTTTCTCTCTCTCTTCTCTCTCTCTCCAAACCGTCTTGAAGCTTGACGAAAGGAAGAGAATCGATACCAACAGGAAAAAAAATCTGGCGTGCACATATTCCCTCCACTAAAAAGCTCTACTAAAACAAAAAACATATTCCCTCCACTAAAAAGCTCTACTAAAACAAAAAACAAATTCCCTCTCCCCCCACAAACAGAAGAGATCCCGTGCCCAAGGTGTCGCCCACACACACACACAGAAGAGTTCCCTGGCAGAAGGTGTCGCCCACACACACAGACAGAAAAGTTCTCGTGCACAAGGTGTCACCCACCTGTCTCTGACGCTGAACACGTCATGCTGCAAGCCAGGGCTGCTTCCCGCTACCGCCATGGACGACGGGTTGAGGCAGTGCGAGCCGTGGTGCAGCGCCGGGTGGCCGTGGCCCGGATGTTGGTGATTCAGATGCAGCTGGTGCTTCAGTGACGTCATATCCTCCTCGAAGCCGGAAACGTGCTTGCCCAGCGCAGGCGCAGAAGCCGCAGCCGCGGCCGCGAGTTCGGCATGCATGTTCTGGTAGTGGTGCTGATGCTGGTGGCTGGTTTTGAAAGCAGCGCCCAAGGCCGAGTCGTTGTGGGCAGACGGAAAGTGACGTAGACCAACGGACGCTGAGCAGTCGGCCGCCATGGAGTGCAGGGATTTTACGCTCTCTTCAAGCTTGGTCATACCTCCCGTGTGGAAGTACTCGGGCATCAGAGGCATCGTGAACTCCATCATAGTGTTACCCTGGGGAGTGAGAAGAAGAGAAAATATTGTAGAGCAAAGGAAATTACACCAACACGACCTTCTTCATCAGGAGACAAAATTGAAACGAACGGCATAGAATGGAAAAGACACCACACTTATATTGCAACAATGAGCGATGTCTCACTCCCCGGCGATACCAACTTTGCGGTCAGCACGATGTCATTGTGTGTGTGTAGATAATATGTGTATGTGTACGTATGTGTGTGTGTGTGTGTGTGTGTGTGTGTGTATGTGTGTGTGTGTGTGTGTGTGTGTGTGTGTGTGTGTGTGTGTGTGTGGTTGTGTGTAAGCCTGTATGTATGCTGTCACCACAATATCAATGTAGTTGTTTTTACGCTCCAATCGACGCAATTCAGATCATGTAGGGAGCAGACTTCCGACCGTGCCTGCCAGGACAAACTCAGGCCAAAAGGAATACAACATCCCCTCAGCGGAAAGACTGGGATATTAGTTAAACATTTCTCCCCATTCGGGAATCGAACTGGCTCTCCTGCGCGCGGCAGCAAGGCGCCTAACATCTAATATAGCAGACACCGGGCTGTAGGTTTAGATTGATTGATTGATTGGGTAGGTGTTTTACGGTACAATCGATTCAGGAGGACAGGCAGTGTTGAAAAGACCTTAAAATGTAGTCCGCGCTTTTTACGATCTTGTGAAAGTGTTTTATACATTATTGTAGCAATGGGTTTTATGATGGTACAAGCGGGGGTTTAGTTTACTTTAGCTTAGCTTAGCTTAGCTTAGCTCAGTTTAGTTTAGTTTAGTTTAGTTTAGTTTAATTTAATTTAGTAAACGCTTTACGGTACGGGCAAAAAAAAGAAGTCACAAAAATGCCCAATATTACAGGTGCTTCTAGAGAGTAACATGTAAAGGAAAGAAGGAGGAGAAATAAGAACGACAGATGTTTGATAGGAAAGAATGAGAGTTCAGCACGATACATGGTGGACAGTAAAAATGTCCAAAATTAATACGTCTCATCTAAAGAAAGAATCTATAAGAGTGAGAATGTGTTTTCGGTTTGTGCGTGTGAGCGTGCCCCTGCCCGTGCGTATGCATGCGCGTGTGCGTGTGCGCGTGAGTGTGAGTGTGCGTGTGTGTGTGTACATGTGAGAGAGACAACGAGAGAGGCAGAGGGGGAGAAAAGGGCAGACAGACAGACAAAAAGACAGACAGACAGACAGACAGTGGGAGGAATAGGGAAAGTGAATGACATGCCCTTCACCATATAGTTTCCACATTTTTCTAGTCTCTACATCATTTTTTGTGGCTATCCTCTAAGTTCTACGTGGCCTTCCCCTTGATCTTTTACCCTGTGGATTCCAATCCAACATCATGTCTCTCTACTACCAGCCTGTATTCCTCTCTACAATCCTCTTTACTCCCTTCTATAACCAATCTTCATTTCTCCTTAGTTTAGTTTTTAGTTAAGTAAGAGTTTTGAAGGAATTGTAAAGTTTACTTCTCTCTATAACCAATCTGTGCCTGTAGCTAAATCAACATTTCTTTCTCTCTATAACCAGTCTGTATTTCTCACGACAACCTTCATTTATTAAAGTTTAGTTTTAGTAAGAGTTTTTTTTAGCAATCTTTATGAATTGTGAGGCAGCAAGGTTGAATCAGGCTCTCGTCAAAATAATCAAAGTGAAGAATTTTTATCAAATTTTTGTTTTTTGGGTCAACACCTTTCATGCCCACTAAAGAACTCATTTCTGTGTGGATTTTTCTGAAAACATTAATTAAAGGCACAAAAAATGTCAATTTTCAGTTACCACGGACTCTTAAGCTAAGGAAATAACTAATCTTTGGCGGCCATTTTCTCACTAATTTTACCTCTGAAAACAGGTGACCCCTATATCCTTCACTCGCAAATATCTCGACTTGTATTCAAGATAAATGGATATTTTTTTTCTTTTAAATAAACACAAATGAACAAGCTTTACGATGATACCAATAAATCTACATGCCCAAAAATTGACGAGAGCCTGATTCCACCACGCGGCCTCGTCCCTATAACCAATCTTTATTTCTCTCTATAATAACCAACCCTCTAGAACCATCCTGCATTTCTTTTTATAACCAGCTTGTATGTCTCTCTATAATCAAACTTTGTTAGTGGGTAGTTGGCGGATGCTCTGGTGTTATTTCCTATCAAACATTTATCGTCCTTATCTCCCCTTCTTCTTTTTTACGTTTGTTACTCTCTTGTAACACCTCTAATCGTCTAGCGCTCATATGACCTTATGCAGTTTCGAGCGCCGTAAAACCTCCAGCAAAACTAAACTAAATCTTTGTGAGTCCCCATAACCAACCTTTATTCCTCTCTATAATAACGTACCCTCATTCCTCTCTTTAACCAGCTTGTACTTCTCACTATAACCAATCTCCATTTCTCTTTATAACCAATCTTATCAGCAACTTTCAGCATGACTCGGTCCCTCCCCCGCCCAATCTGCGGCATATTTCCGCGGCACCCGCCGGCCCCTGGCCCCCTGGCCTCTGTCTGTCAACGCGGGAAGCTCCGGACTCGCGAGGTCTGTCGTTTGTCCAGGCACGGGGCCAGGTTTCCTTCG